GCACAAGTTGGAAGTTCGCGTTCTCGCACGCGTGACTAATCGAGGAACTTTAGACCTTTATTTTTAGACTATTAAAAGTGAATAATAATAGTGTTAATGAAAGTGCATTAGAGGTTTAGTGCACAAGTGAAACAAACCCGAGAGGAATCGTGCACGAAACGCGCGCGTACCAACTATAGGAGAGTTGACTTTTGTGTCACATTAAAGCCCAACTACCAAGCTTCTCCAAGAAGCTTTACCAGCTGCATCATCTCTCTCTTTCCTCTCATTGTGACCGAAATTCAGCTAAGGAAGAAGAAGGAAAAACTTCATCTCATTTCACCTCAAATCCTACTCCAAATCACCTCAAATTTTGCATCCAACTTGCAAATCACTTGGAGATTCACTTGGACTAGGAAAGGAGCACCATTTCCACGGTTTCTTGGAGCTTCTTAGTGGCCAAAATTTCTGAGTTTCATCAACCAAGAGGTAGTGAATCATCCAACCTTTAAATCTTAGTTCTAGTGAATTAAATTTCACTTGGAAACTTGTAGATTCATGTGGGTAACTTTGGATGGTTGAAAATCATGTGAGTGGGCTCTATGAACTCCCACAATGGACTTGTTGGACTGATATGATGATTTTGGGTGTTGTTTATGTTGATTTAGGGTTAAATTAGTGGTTATAAGTTGAAAAAGTGGAAAGAAACTCAAAAGAAAACGAAAGGGAAGAAGGGCCGAATCTGCCCTGTTCTTGCCGCAACCTTAGTTCGAAATTTTTGTGATCAAATTGCCTTGATTTTGATATAGATATGTTTTATAGGTTGTATGGAAAGTTTCCACCAAAAATCACTTGATTTGGTTGGCTACAAGTTGCAATTTCGAAAATTCTTCAAACCTGGAAAACGTGTACAGAGGTGCTCTGGCAGCGAACTTTAAATAATCATAACTCTTTACTCCGATGTTGAAATCGAGTACCATTTGTGGCATTTGAAACTAGACACTTCCAGTTTTCTAACGGTATAAAATGAATCCCTTGATTCTACTTGAGTGAACCGTACTAGCTTTTCAAAATTACCTGTTCTGTTTTGTTGCTGTGCTAGAGAGTCAATGAGGTGCTGGGACTTGTTGCTTGAATTTGAGCTAGCTATGGACAGAATTTCAGAACAATTTCTTCTGAGAAATTGTATCCTTATGAATGTAGTTTCCAACGCCACCAACCATACTTAATTTCAAGTTTAATTGACTGAGTTATGGCCAAATTACAGACCTGCACCAGAGAAAGAAAACCCTAATTTTGGGCTAGCCAATGGCTTATTTCGAATTGGGACTTGTTATTTTGAAACTTTTGGTGTTATCACCTACCAAATGTATGTTGGATGTTTCTTATACTTTTCCTTCATAAATGAACCATGTTTGAGATGATTTCATTGGCCAAAGGTTCGAAAAAAAGGAAAACGGAAGCATAAGGCAGAATTGCCTTGGAAATTCCTGGAAATTTAGTGGTCTTGTTAACTGACTTTCCGTACGAATTTTTGCATGAAATTTGATAGAAGAGTATCCCTTATAAGGTAGTGTAATCATACCAAAATTGGTGCTATTCCAAGTCCATTTCGATGCCCAACTGAAGTCCCAAAGTTTATGTTTCAAATCTGGAAAATTGCCCAATGGTCTTCATTTTGAACCAAGTTTGAGCTACTATATCTTGGTGCTCAAAACTCTGACTCTTGTTCTGTTTGCTGCGTTTTAAACTTTGATTGTAACTCTAATTGAATTTCAAATTTCAGTGGCTAGTTCACATTCTGTGAATTTTTCCGAATTTCCAAAATTTGCCAAAAACCAACCCCGAATCTGTCTTAGAAATGCAAGTCAACAACTTTAAACCGAAATTTGAGTGTCTTCCATTTTGAATCATGGAAAAGTGCCTTCTAGGAACTTTTAGTACTTTGGAAGTAGTTTCCAAATGTACCAAGTTTTTCATTTTTGGACCTACTGAGTGCAAGATATGATTTTTCTAAGTTTGACACACAAAGCTGAAATTTTGCCAATTTCTTAGAAAATGCAATTTCGGGAACTTGACTTCTTTTCTCGATATAGATTGCACGTTTTGAACTCGATTTCATGGAAGATGCTAGTCTCTCTTCGGACGTTAAAACTTCACTCTTAAATCTCGAGTTGAGAGAATTGAAACTCTCTTTTAAGACTTTGATTTAGTCTAATTAAGTGTGCATCCTTTCTTGGTAAATGCATGATTGTAAGTAAAATTAATTATTATTTGCTCAGGCGCTCAAGGGGACCTTCAAGAGGAACTCGAAGCGGACACCTAAACACTTGTTTGAGCACTTACTCACTTGTTTTGAATAGGTGAGTGTTCCATATAGGAGTACGTGATTTGAATAGTTTTATGACATGTTTACTCCTTGGTCATTATGTGTTTAACTGTTAAGTGCTATCGATAATTGCTCCTATGGACTTTTCTATCATTTTGAGTTGAGTGTGTACTTTACCGCACTCGTTCTCATTTAAGTGAAGTATACTTGAATTACTCGGCATGAAATACTTGAAGTGCATATTTACATGAAGTGTTTCAATGATTGATTATGCTATGGCTGCATAAGTCGATTGAAGTGAATCCCCTCGACTCTTAAGTGGTAAAAGTGGGGATGGCCAACGGGTGGCCTACTAAAATGATAAATGTCTTTCAATTAACCGTAAACTACTATCGTTTACCGATTACTATATTACTGTTTACCGTTTACCGTTAACCGTGATTACTTACCGTTTACCGATTTACTTGATTACTTGACTACTTGATTACTTGATTACTTGATTATCGTAAATTACATGTTCATATGAAATTACCGCATATTGCTTACGTGTTTAAGTGTTAAGTGTTACTGATAATTGCTCATATGAAATTGGCCACCGTTTTAAGGCGAGTGTGTACTTTATCTCACTCGACCTACTAAAATGATAAATTTTTACCGTACACCAATTTACTTGATTACTTGTGCATGTTGTAAACTCTAAGCTAAACTAGGCCCTGCCATTGGTTACTAACCTACTCGAGTCAGGACTGGGTTCGGTCGGGTAGGTTAGAACCCTGGGCCACCGTTTTGGTATACTCGAGTATTACCACTGGAGGGATAAGGTGATGGCCAGACAATACCGAGGGGACCGGAAGTTATAAGGTGAAGTTGACCGAAATGGTTCCACTGGAACATCGTATCCTTCAATGTGTGTTTATTTTTACATACTGATAACTGTATCATGCTAATGTGCCAAGGTGCAACCTTGAACCATGCTTGTGTTATACTCAAATTACTCGTACAATGATAACTATCTCATGTTAATGTGCCAAATATGTAACCTTGAACCATACATGTGGTATGCTCAAATTATTTGATTTATTAGAACTGCTAGAGTGTCTTGGAACCTCACTGGACTGTGTAACTCATTCCTCGTTTTTGTTTTCCTTAACAGGGTTCGAGACCAAGAGTGCTCGTGAATAGTACTAGATTGTTTTCTTTTGAAGACCTTAAGTTATATTATAGCGGATGGTTGTAATACATATTCTTTTGGATTGTATTAAGCTTGAAAGCTAACTAATTGTAAGCATGCAATATTTTGGAGTATTTTAATTATATGTTGAAGTTATTTGAAGTATTTCGAGCTTTTGAACTGTAGATTGTAGTGAATCCTGACAAGAGTTGGGCAGGCGTCCCGCGGATACCCTTTGGTTCGCCTTAGAGAGAAGTGGGGGCGTCACAGGTTTGGATACTACCATCATGCTTAGGAATTCATCTCTAATCCAAAATTTCTTCCGTCTAATGATTATGGAATGTCTAGTCAAAACCCACATCCAGCAAATACACTAAAATGCTCTTATACGTTACCGTTCATCTGAAAATGAGAGTGACTTTGAACCACATCGTCATTCTACTTGGTATTGACGGGTACGAAAATATAAAGTAATAGTATATCTTTTTAGATATTTGCCTTTTGTTTAATATGATTCCTTTTTATTTTTGTTAGGAGATTGATTATGAAATAAGTGAAGTTATTCCAACTTGTATAAAAAGTAAATCCTTATTTTGTATTGTTAATGGTTAATATTACTTTTGCAATTATTAGTTTTAAAATTGTTTTATGTGTTATCTTGATTTTGTTTGTGATGCCATTATATTAAATGATTAAAGATACTTATTGTGTTTAATATGTATAAAAATTGTAAATTTTATAGATTTTCTTTTGCTAATTTTTTGTTATTTTTGTTTAGTATTTTTTTTATATTATTCACCATTTTTAGAATATTAAATGTTTCAAAATTTACATCTCACCAAGACCGCTACTAATATGTTGAAACCAATGTGGAACGGTCCGGGTCGCGACTACAACTTTGAACCATGGATTGTGACGATATCTTATTTGACAGAGAAGCAACCCCAAGTAGCACAGGACAAAAGAACTTTGATTGCTTACATAGGCTGTAACCTGTAGTCTTCCATCAGGTCTTAACTGCTCCAGTTACAATTGGTTCTATTTGTATGATGACATGAAGATTGTCTTGAGGTTGCGGAGTTAATTGTTTTGGAAGTGTATTGTGTATTGCGGAGTTAATTGTTTTGGTAGTGATTGCTTACATAGGCTGTAACCTGTGGTCTTCCGTCAGGTCTTAACTGCTCCAGTTATCAATTATCTTAACATATTCTAGTTTTGATGCTAACTATTAGCTAACTAATCAATATAATATAGCATGTCACAAATATACTTAAAAAGACTGGATTCAACTCTTGGCCAGCGTGCCTTTAGGCGAAATATATTTGTCATCTTCCTAGTTATCTCATAATCTCAAACTCTGCAAAGCCAAAATTAGGTTAGTTACTGAGGTCATGAAGCCGCGTCTGTTTTGTTTCTTTGTCCTGCTAATAATGTAGTATTATAAAGCAATTATGGGTAGTAATAAACCTGCACCGTGTTGTCCTGATTCCCTCAGTTGTTTACCATCTTTTTGTGAGTGCCAGATCCTATATATTTATACTCCATGTGCAGAACTTCTGTTGATCATACAACAAAATGGCTGCCAATGATGTGCCATGTTGTGAATCCATGTTCTGGGTATACTTAGTAATATCTGTGGGACTCGTGGCATTTGCAGGTCTCATGTCAGGGCTCACCCTTGGACTCATGTCACTCAGCCTTGTCGAGCTTGAGGTCCTTGTTAAGGCAGGTCTGCCAGAGGACAGGAAGAATGCAGGTCCGGTCTAAATATCTGAAGCGCACAGTCTTCTCTATTCTATATTGAAAACTTCATTTCAGGAATGAACAGCTTATTCTGTTCTCTGCTTTTAATTTCTTTTGCCTCCATAAAATTTTTGCAGCAAAGATTCTGCCCATTGTCAAAAACCAACACTTGCTTTTGTGTACACTCCTCATATGCAACTCCCTGGCAATGGAGGTACATGTGTCAATGGATTGATATGTAATTTTTGGCATTTAATAGTTCTTCACATGCCAAGCAGAATTTAACATCGCGGCTAAGGCCATGGTCTCAAGAATTAGAGATTCTGGATTCAAATTTCTCTCTTCCCTCCAGTTTCTTAAATTTCACCCCTCTCCTGTTAAAAAAATTGAAAAAAATGAAAATTTTCTTCACACAGTTACTGAAATCATATTATTTTGTTGAGTAAGGCCCTACCAATCTTCCTCGACGCTCTCCTCCCTGCCTGGGGCGCCATATTAATATCAGTCACCCTCATTCTTGCTTTTGGCGAGGTAAATCTTGTATAGTATTTGGGATATCTGACAGGATTGGTTGGAGTACTATTGGCAGCTTTCTGAGGGAATGCTTGCCTTTTTGTTGCAGATTATTCCCCAGGCCGTGTGTTCTCGTTATGGACTGAGTATTGGTGCGAAATTGTCAATAGTGGTTCGTTTGCTTGTCATAGTTGTTTTCCCATTATCTTATCCTATTAGTAAGGTACTTTTTCCTTCACAATCTTAAAGGGGTTCTAAGTTAATCTAATCTAATTCTAATCTAATCTAATCTAATACTGTCCAAAAATGTGGATGCTTTGGACATGCATTGTTGACTTTCTTCAAAATATCAGATTTTAATTTTACACGTGCAATTTTCTTGTAGTATTGAAATGTTGATACGATAACAAAAATCAAACCAAATGAAGGTCCTATTCTGACTCCTTTTGTTACACTGCATCAGTTGCTGGATTTACTCCTAGGAAAGGGGCACTCTGCTCTACTACGGCGTGCAGAGCTGAAGACCTTGATTGATTTCCATGGAAACGAGGTTCTTTCTAAAATCATCATCCTAAATACATTTTAACAATGTTTTTAAACTCGGACCGGTCAGTGAACCGGAGAGGTGGCCGGTTCGCGGTTCGACCGGTCCAACCGGCCGGTTCAAAGGTTCACTGTTTTTTTTTTTTTTTTTAGTGTTAAGTACTAAGCAGGTTTCATTCTACACTTGAACTTTACCAACATAACTTAATTTAAGTTATGATAATAATAAATTTTCTAAAAGTTATACACAAAACATGGAATGATAAATATAATTAAAATATCATAATTCACCACAAGTTTTCATAAATTCATTATAAACATAAATAGATACAATCCAAATGTGCACCAATTATCACAAATAAAAACACAAAAAATAAATTAATTAAATATTGAAATTCTTTTACAACCCTTAAAAAAATCCATAAAAGAGTTCAAGTTAAGACAAACTATTTGAATAGCAAACTTTTATCAGTGGCATGATAAGCAACCACACCACCTTCACAATTTCATCAACTTAAGCTGAAAAAGTTAAAATTTTATTATAAAAATATAAATCTAATTGCTCAAACTAAAAAAAACTAAAAATTTTTGAAAAACAAATATACAGTTAAACACATAAAAAATTAATTGCTACTAAACATTACTAATTAACATGTTATATTAAATTCAATGATCCTATACCATTAATTATTTTAAATTCAATTATCAATAGCTTCGATTATGTGCCAACTACCATATTTTTGACCAACCCAATGTTATTATTTGCAATTCCTACCCAATTCCTACACGGATGTGCACTACTTTTGCAAAAATTTCATCCTTAATTAATCGAATAAAAATAAAACAAAAATGAGGGAAACATATGAAAATTGAGGGGAAAAAGAAGAAAATGCAAAAAATCAACTAAAGATAATAATATAGAAAAAAACCTTGAAAAGAAAAAAATTAAACTTACTAAAATGTTAGAAAACAAGAAAAGTTGAAATTTTCAACTTGTTTACAATCTGCTAAAGATAATAACCAGATAATAATGGTGAAGACTTGAGAAAATCTTGTTGTGGATATTTGGGTTAAAAATGGTTAAGAAGAAAAAATTGAAGAAGAACTTGATGTTTTAATATATTTTTTAGTCAAGTAGAATTCTCAACAAACTTAAGTACAGTCTAGCGGTAAGATTGTCATATTTAAACTTGGAGACTCAGATTCGAATCTTAGCTACACCATTCTTGATATTTTGTTGAAGAATTTAAAAAACCGCCGGTTCACGGTTCACGGTTCACGGTTCGTCCGGTTCGTCCGAGTTTCAACGGTTCTCCATGAACTTCCGGCTTTAGCATTAGACCGGACCGGTGACATGGCCGGTTCGCGGTCCAACCGGTCGAACCGGCCGGTCCGGTCCGGTTCTGAAAACATTGCATTTTAAAGCATTATACGTTATCGTTTTTCATTTTAGGCAGGAAAAGGTGGAGAGTTAACTCATGATGAAACTACCATCATCTCGGGAGCGTTGGACTTGACACAGAAAACTGCCAAAGATGCTATGACACCTATGTCGAAAATATTTTCCCTTGATCTCAACTCTAAGCTCAATGAGTATGCCACTTTGAATTTGGTCAACAAATATATGTTGTTCGGGTTGTTGCTCATTCGTATCAACTAAAATCTCTTCGGTATGCTTTCTCAGTGATTTAATGATTTTGATATTGAACAAAGGACATAGTCGTGTGCCCGTGTACTCAGGAAGTCCGACTAATATCGTTGGCCTTATTCTGGTAATCATGTCCATAGAGTACTCTTCTTGGAGGCTAAAATTAACTTCGTGCTACATTTTTCATTTCTCTTACTTCTTTTTGTCTTGTTGAATTTGGATGTAGGTCAAGAATTTATTGAAATGCCGTCCTGAAGATGAAACACCAATCAGGAATCTGACAATCAGGAAAATACCCAGGTAGACTATTCTGTTGTTGCTTTAGAGCATGATCAAATAAAGCAGAACGAGCCAAATCATAATTAACACTGAAATTAAAAGTATGAGTAACTGATGGTGATGCGTTGTAACAGGGTTTATGATTCGATACCATTGTATGATATTCTGAATCAGTTTCAGAAAGGGAATAGCCATATGGCTGTTGTTGTGAAGAGCCGTGAGCGTAACAATGATGCTACCGAAGTTGCTATATCCAAACGTGAAATGTTGAAGAGAGAAATCGATTCATGTTCATATAAAGTTCAAGTAGCTCAAAATGGTAATTAGTTAGTGTTAAGTGTCTCATAGCTAATGCTGTATTAGTCTTTCCATGACATATACGAACCTGATCGAGTAATAGTTGTAACGCTCCCTTGCTTGCTGTTCTTTCTGCTGCAGCAAATAATTATCAATATGGCGAAGGTAAACCACTAAATGTTTTGGAGTCATCAGGGCCCTGTTGTCACATTAGAGTCTTGAGTCCAGCATCGAAATGCAAAATCACAAGTGGCAAGTTAGAAGCAGCAGATGCAATAGACACAGTTCCAAGTTTAGATGAAGAAGTCATTGGTATAATTACCATGGAAGATGTTCTGGAAGAATTACTGCAGGTAATCTTCTTATGGAAAAGAAACATTTTGACGAAGAAAATGATCCTTTTAATCCACATTTATTTAACAATCATGTTCATTTTAAGTTGAGTAAATTACCCAACCAGCCCCTAAACTATTACTGTTTTACACTTTTGTGCCCTAAACTATATTGTATATCATTTATGCCCTTAAACAAATTAAAGTGTAAACTGTTGGCCCTTTTAGCAATTTTTGTTGTTTGATCTAATGGAATGGAGGGACAAAATTGTCCACCCACAAAAAAATGAAGGGATAGCGAGCTTTTGGCTTTTATTCCTCTCTTCCTCATGGAATCTCCACTTTTTAATCTTAAGTTTTATGAGATTCTACAAGAATAACAAGAAATATGGCGGTCTGATTCTTTTACTCATCTTCCAGTTATATGTTTATTTATGGAGGGACAAAAAGGCCAAAAGGGACAAAATTGTCCCTCCATTCTGTTAGCTCAAATAGCACAAATTGACAAAAGGGCCTAAAGTGTACACATTCAGTTAGTTAGGGCTTAAATGATACATAATATAGTTGAGACGCTAAAAGTGTACAAAAGTAATAGTTTATGGGTAGCTTGGCAATTTACTCGTTTAAGTTTCACGAGAACAACTCGTGTATGTGAATTCACCAAATCTGACCACTTGATGGTGAGAACCAACTACTCTAGGAGTAGTTGGCCACGGGGAGAGTTTTAAATGTCTCCTTCGGTATAGGTCAAGGGATTGAATCCCTTGGCCTGTATTTTTGTTTAGAATTTCTTGAAAATTTCATCAGCGGGTGCAAAGGCACTCATCTGATCTGGTCCGGTGGCGATTCAGTCCCTTTTGGGTTCTCCATTAATTTCCTTGAGTCCACCATTTTTCCTTAGTGTAGAGTAGGAGTAAGTGTAGAATATTTCACCAACGGATGCAAAGACACTCGTTTGGTTTGATGGCGGGAGGCGGTTCAGTCCCCTCCGGATTCCCCATTGATTCCCTTGGGTTCACTCCTTGCCCTTGGTGTAGAGTAGGGGTAATAGTAGGTATAAAATAAAATTATCGTATGGTGCAAAACCAATTTAATTTGGTTATCTTTCAGTGCTTTATACTGACAAACAGACTACATAAATATCTCCATTGTGCTTAATCAACAAAATTCCAACATTGCGTACATAATGAGACTAATTAAATCCTTTCCAACATGCATTCTGTTTCTGTAGGAGCCAATCTATGATGAAACTGACGAATATATTGACGTCCACAATAAGTAAGTTCAAACCATTTTCAGCTTCTTGTTGTCTTCATTTGATCCACCTATTCATTTTGGCAATACTAAGTACATTGCACCTCTCTTCCCCTTCCAGAATTAAGATTAATATGCTTCCGGGAAAGAAATATTTTTTAAGATCTCCTGGAGCAGCCTCAGCCTCCAATGTAAACAGGCAAACTCCAATGGTGTCCCCACTTTCTTCAGCTCATCAGACACCTATCTCATATCATCACACTCCCCTACTGCGTTCACCAATATCGCCATATACTCCATCGCCATGTGCAAGACCAACTCTATATGCTTCCCCTGGAAAATTTACGATGAATTCACCAGTCAGACACGCATGACCTCCTCACACTCTCAACAGGTATTTTAACACAACTGTCCCATCAGGATATTATAAGTAAAGCTAGTTTCGGGTTCAATCGTTGTAAATACTCCATCATCTATGAACTGATATGCAATAGCCTATCACCAATCTTCATTAGCAGCATCTTTTATCTTTTTTCTATCAATTTTTCATGTGTTGAAAACCTTCTGATATTCCAAAAAATGAGATCGAAAAATAAAGTGTATTGTTTGGTTGACTTGACTGATAATTATCTTTGTACACGGGCAAAGGCAATCAATTTAGCTCCCATCCCCTGGAAATAATTTTTAACCTTGATGAATCGTTATGCATGCGTCAAGCTACCAATGAGCTAAAGCTGAAAACTACTGTTGAAGTGTGCTTTCCTGCACTTTGAAGATCTCTAAGCATATGCCTACACGAACTTTTGGAGTACCATGTTTTTTAGTTTAGAAACTGTCTAATAACGTTTATTTGTTAAACATGACTAGCAACTTTCAATAGTATTTGATGTAAAATGTGAGAGCCCGAAATTTATTATGTATTTCATGCTTTTGTTTTAAAATTGAAGGTGTTGTGTTTACTTGTTACTTGTTTCTTGTTTCTTGTGATTAAATAACTTGGATGTACCCTATATTAGTGTTGGATCAACCTTTATAGAAATTAACACTAGAATAAGAAATTAGTAGGAACATAACATGAGAATATAGAAGTGAGGGGTAATTGTTAGAATAACTCTTGACAACTCACATATGTTTGACAAGTAAAGATAGACTTACCTTGCAATTTTATTCATTTAGTTATCTATTTGTTTATTTATCGATTTCATAATGATTTTGTCTTAATGCTTTTATTAAATTTTACATGTGGGAGTTTAGTGGGGGAAAATGTGATTTTTTTTTGTGGGGTGTGAAAGGAACTTTTGGGAAAAAAAGAGAGGGTTTACTGCAATAAGGAAGAGGTAGGATACTTGAAGTTAGAAACATCTAGATGGTGACATGTGTCACCATAGCCATAAGTGTTAACTTCTTTGACCAAGCCTTAATCCTACTTTGACCAAGCTTTCTTACCAATTATCCTTTCATTACTTGTTCTAAACCTAATAAACCAACACAAAAGAAAGAGATTAGAGAAATCGGAAGCTAGAAATCACAAGGAAGTGACACTTGGCAAAGTAGGGACCGAGTTTTTGTTATAAGACACATTTGACCAATCTTGTCTTACCATTTTTCTTTCCTTTCTTGACTTAAGACCAAACAAAATAAAAACCAAGAGAAAAAAAAAAGAGTGAGGGCCATGAGCTTGAGGAGAAAAAGGGAAGAAAAAGATCCATTCCAACTAGCTTCAATTTTGCTTGGACTTTGAGGGGAAAGGAAGAAAATAACTTGGGGTTTCTACCAACCTTTGCCTGAGCTTGGAAAAGGGAGTAGATTTGGTGAGTGGATTAAGTTTCATCTTGATTGGAAGGCCAAAGAGGTAAAGTATTGTTCTTCTTTCTTTGCCTTATGTTGGAAACAAGTTGGATTTTTGGATTCAAGGCAAGATTTTATGGTGAATCTTGAAAGATTATGAGTTGATGATTATTATGCCTTATATTTGAATTCTAGAGTTTGATTATGCATATGATTGTGATGTGATTATGATGGCTATTTTGTTGTGATTATGGCTACATATGTATCTATGGTTATGTCTGTGACGACCCTACCTCCTCCTAGGGCATACCCAAGGGTTTGGCGGACCATCTGTCCAACTCTCGCCAGAACTCATTCACTAACGTTCTTGAAATAGCCTTTCAAGTCTCGAAATTAACATAAAAGTTCCATTTTCAACCAACAATTCAAACTTAAATCACAATCCAAAAGTAAAACATAGGATCACATTCTAAAGATTCCAAATACATCTCATCTACAAAAGTACAAGTACAAGAGATTATATATACTAGTTCGTGCCTACTTGCTCCGGCCTCCACCCCTGTAAGAAAAATAAACTAATGGAATGAGCTAAAAGTTTAGTAAGGTTCCCAAATAAGCAATCAAGCAGGCATACATGGAAACATTTACATTTAGTACTTTACACACTTGGCACAGTATAAGCAGTCATTCAAGAATCAATCATTCATTCATTGAAAGGATACGTGCTCACTTGGAGCCATTCATTAATTCATTCGCCAACCATTTTTCTTATCCCTCCGACATCAGAAAACATTTGCAATTGAAAACTTCTTCAATGTTCATGTCATTCATTCATTCATTTATTTTTATTGCATTGAATTCACTAGCTAGTTCTCCACCAGATTTCGTGGTAATACTCGAATATATCAAATATTATCTCAGGGTCACCAGCCGCCTGACCGAGTCAGCTTCTGGCTCGAGTCGATTGGCAATGAAGGGCAAGGGTCCAGTTCAGTCAAAAGACCTACATTCATGCACAAGTAGCATTAAATAATTGAAAATTTACTTTTGCTTGGGTCGAGTGCGATAAAGTACACACTCGCCCATCGAAAATTCATTTAGCAATCATTGGAAAGCATTTAACATTCAGACAACATTCACAACCTTCCACATAGTCATTTAAAGCACACACATGCAAGGAACACTCACCAACGATTAGTGTTTAGCAAAATCAGGTTGAGGCCTAACTCCTTGGCCGGATTCTAAATCTGCGATCAAATATTGAATAACAAAATACAATCAAGTAGGGTTTCCAAATATCCAACCATCACTTGTGAATATCACAAGGAGATCATGAATAGAACTTATATACATAGACTTCATGACTTACTAACCCCAGGCAAAATATATGCATGCTTGCCTTTGTTTTAGAAAGAAAACGATCGAAACTTTTAAGTTTAAAACGTGACATACACTACTAAAAATCATGTCTTAAAATGGTCATTACTTTCATCTTGCAAAATATATAATTTTGGCAAAATTTCAGCTTACATATCACCTCCAAGGTTAACTCAAACATTCCTAAACAAGTGAAGTCTAAATCGATTACAAAGCACACCTCCATGTCCACTTTTACTCACTTATCCTTCAAGAAATGAAATGGACAACAATTCCCCTGTTCTTCCTTCAATTTTTCCTCCAATTTTTCAAGCTAAGTTTTATGGTAAAACAGCCCAAATCAACTCCACAACTCATAAGAAAAAAAAGGGTTCTTACACTAGACTACAAAACCAACTAACTTAGGTTTATCTCTAGCATATAAACATTATACATCTAGCTGGAAAATTAAACCCTAGGCTAGAAATTTACAAATTAAAGCTGGAAAATTATAATTCAAGGCCGGAAATTTCAATTGAAAGCTGGAAATCCCTACAACCAAGTTAAAAATCACATTTCAAAGCTTACTATGTTATATCAAAGCTAGAAAGTCCCATGTGAAAGTTGACAAACTCATATATATAATAAATCCATGATCTAAGTATGAAATGGAGTGCAAGTAATCGAGAAAGTTAGGTTTAAAAACCAGAAAATGTTTCCAAGACCCTTTCAAGTTTTTTGTCATTTCATAAGAAAAATTCCAGTTTTTGTAACGCTTTTGGAAAAGTCATAATTTGAATTTTGTAGGTCCAAAAATCATAAATTTTATACCGCTAGAAAATAAACTCAAAAGACTGCAACTCTCTAGAAGACACCTTCATAAAATTCAGCCCATAAATTAGTCAAATCTAAGCCTCAATTCATTGCTCAACTCAGTGCAAAAACAGGACAGTCTTGGATTTTCAACCCGTTTTGAAATTTTTCTGGTATTTATAGAAAGTGAACCAACCCATGCATTTTACACGGTTAAAAAAGCTATGAGTCTAGTTTCAAATCAATAAACGGAACTCAATTCGGATTTTTCTATACCAAGATATAACAGATTTCCCAAAACTACTCAAAGTCTCCTGCAGGAAAAATTCTCAGCAGCACTTTCCCTTATTTTCCCTAATTTCCAGCCATTTTCAAGGTTTCATTCTCACCACAAAACAGCCTCAAATCAAGCATATACATACCAGGCCACCAACTCACTAAATCAAACATATATATAGCATTTAACCATCACAACTCCATGTATATATAGAGCTTCAAGTAACTACATCAAGGTTGGAAATTTCACCAAACCTAACAATACCATGGTAGCTATCATAAAAGTCATGCCTTTTACCTTATAAAGTATCATCCATCAAGTAGATACAAAGACAAGTGGAAAAAATAAGGTGGCTATCAAGTTTACCTCTTAAATCCCACAAAACAATGCTGGAAAATCACAACACAACCTGAAAATCGTGAAATCCACCATACAAATCCTTCCTTTAGCTTCTATAATATCATATATCAAAGAAACTCAAAGATAAGGGAGGATTTCTAGCAAAGTTCTCCTCTTTACCTCTAAAACTTAGATGGACAGCCAAACAAGAAGTACTTAAGGGTTTCTTCCTCCAAAACTTCTCCAAGAGCTTCCCCTCAAGATTATCTCAAGGTTGATTGGAGTGGATTAGGGTTGATCTTGGTTTTTTTTTCCATGATTCAAGCAAGAGATCAAGGCTGCAAATGGAGTATTTTTCCCTTCTTCTCCTCTCAAATTCCGTCCATCATGGAAGGCAAAGGAAGAAAATGGTGATTGACTTGAGTTGGATAAGTTTTAAGCTTAATCTTGGTCAAGGTCTTGGTCAAGATTGGCTTGGTGTTTGACAAGTGGCACAAATCCAAGTGAAGTCTATCTAATTGTCTCTCTTAAGCAGTCAAATATCTATTACTCCTCCAATCATCTCTTAACACCTTTTGTCACATAATTCCTTTTGCACAAAACTCCTTCTAATCCTCTAAATTTATTGCACACATCTCACTAATCGGTCACACTAGTATTATGCACTATGAGACTTGACATGTATCAAATGAAACATGCACCAAGTAAAATAAGAAAATAGGTCAAAATCATGGTTAAACTAATAAAACAACCAAGAATTCAAGGCAAGTAAATGAAATCAAAGAAAATATGTAACTAACTATCGGGTCACAACACAACTTGCAAACATCTGAAAGTGAGCAAAAATGAACCAAACCTTTTTTTTCTTGGTCAAATCTAGGATTTGAAATCTCTTGTATTAAAATTTCTTTCTTACCATAAATATCTCGTGCCACAAAATGTTAGGCAATCAATTAAAAGAAACAATAAGGTACAACTGTCCGTTATCATTCACTATATATACAAGCAAGTAAACCGAAATGAAAGGTATGAAAATTTTGGGTCCTCACAATGTTGGTGATGAAACCCTATGGAATTACTAGATGTTTTAGACTGAATTTGGGACAATGAGTTGGAGGAAAGTTTGAAAAATTGGGAGGAAAATTTCTGGTTGCTAGCCGAATGGAAAGGCTGCAATTGCAGCCTTTGTCTCGAATTTTTCTTGATGATTTAGGCATGGTTTTGCTCAAAATACGTTATACTACTTTAGCCTACAAGTGTGTGCTGAAATTTGATCAAAATCATGCATTTTAAGTGGCTTAAACCTCACATTTTGACCAAAACGCATGGCTGGAAATTTTCCCGTAGGAAACTCTGAACAGTCTTGGGAAATCTGTCATATCTTGGTGTAGAAAAATCCAAATTGTGTTCTTCTTGTTGCGTTGGAAACTAGATTTAGATTAATTTGTACCATGAAAATTTCAGAAATTTCCTCAATTCCTATGAATATCTGTGATTTTCCAAAGTTGACTAAATTTCCACACCTGCTCTGTTTTTCTACTGGATGAAGCAGCAATTTGAGGCTGGAATTTGACTGACTTGTGGAGAGAATCTTACAAATGTTTCTTCTGGAAAATTGTAATTCTTTGAGTCTATTTTTGAATGGTATAAAATTTATAAATTTTGGACTTAAGAAGCTTGAGATATGATTTTTCAAATAATATCGCGCAAAACTAGAAAAATTCTGTTTTTCTAAAACTGCCCTTACTTTCATTTCCAACTTTAAGTTGGAGTTGTTAAACCATTTTGAATTTGGTTTTATGATTGGAATGAGGAAATTCTTGGTTACTCATGGTCCTTAGCTCTAAATGTTCTCTTTTCACTCCAAAACCATATTTGCATCGTTGCACTAGTAGTTACTTAGATTTTTTTTGGTTTACCTAAGCTTTGAATGGTTGAACTATAATACTTTACTTGTTTGTTCTTAGGATTTGTCGGTGATCAAGGGAATAACTCGGGGGCGAATTTTTGACGTTATTTTGCTTAAATTGGTGAGTGTTAAGTGAATGTTTCTTGATATCTTGATTTGAATGATATCACGTGTTATGTGTTGAATATGGAACTTGATGAGGTGAGGGTATACTTTATCACACTCATTCTTCCCTTCTTGAATGATCTTGTACTTGCTTGAACTTGATTGACCTGTACTTGTGGTTATGTTTGTGTTTGTGCTTGACTTGTAAGTGCTGAGCGGCAGTATGTACCACACTCAATTCGAGTGGGAGGTGCCTCTCATCCCGTCTCAGTACTTTTATCCTGATTAAGTCGATTGGAGTGTTATCTCGTACTTTTATCCTGATTAAGTCGATTGGAGTGTTATCTCATCAACCATATTTGTTCTTGCTTGGGTATACTAGAGTATTACCACCACTATTTCTATTTGATGTTCGGGCCCGGTAGGGGGTGAAATGGTGGATGGGGATTCGTGTCAAGTGAATTCTACGGATATGTTATTTGCGTGGTTGACGGAGTGTCAACAAAAGAAAATGACATCCAAGATCGTGAAATGGCAAGCTTGTGAATTAGCTCCTAAGAGCTCCTGTATCCTCTTAATGAATGTGTTTTAGTCCTTTTGTGGCTTTATGTGAAACCACTGTTGCTATTCTGTATATGTGCTACTTGAGTTGAATAATAGTACTTGTTCTACTTGCTTGCTTGATATCTTAGCCTCACTGAACGTCCGCTCATCCCTTTAAGTTGTTATTCCTTAACAGGAATTTGAAGTGAAGAATTGGAGGCTCTAGACTAGCCAACTTTTGTCTAGAGTTAGTGTGATTCCTTGAGCGACTTTTGGACATTTAGAAGTGTAGATTTCATTTGTATTTGAAATATTATGGTTGTAATAGTTAACGCTATTGCCTAAGGATTGTGACTGTTGTTATTCAAGTATTTTCTTAGTTTTAAGAAATTGTTTGGCTTGAAAATCGTGATTTGGTTTGAGTGAGTGCATGAGGTCTGACGAGAGTTGGGCAGGCAGTCCACCAAACCCTTGGGTTTGCCCTAGGGGAAGGTGGGGCTGTCACATAAAAATGACTCTCGCTCCTTGTAAACAAAAGTATTTCAAATTTGTAGCATACAATCATTGCCAAGCACTGTTTTGTGATAAAAAAAAAAAGGAATGTTTTGTGTTTTGAGTCAATTGTCTCAATTGCTTTCTACTTAAACCTATTTCTAGTGTAATAGATATGCTACAAAGATTCACACTACATTAGATGCAAAGTATGAATTTGATTGGGTTATAAGGCAATGTTTTGAAATTGGACTGAATCGGCCGGTTTGACTGATTGCGCACCGTGAACTGATCATGACATCGATCTGGTAATAAACTCATAAATTAATTGAATCAATTAAATTCGATTAAGAACTGGTTGAACCTATCAAAACAAGTAAAAACTTGGACTTTCCAACTAGTATATACTAATTTTTTAAAATTTTAAAGTCATCCAATTTTTATAATAAATAAAAGAATAAAAAAAACATATGAATCCCAGTTGAACCGATTTGAATTGTAAATCGAATACTTATTTACTTTACTTAACGGTTTGATTTGAAAACATAGCAATAAAGTTTTAGATAAGCTATAAAAATCAATCGCAAAGTCAATTTGTGTGGCTATCCGTATTGGGGGGGATTAGGGAACTTTACTGCCCCTGCAATCATGGTGCAGTAGTTAGCAATGTTATGCCGGCGAAGCACATATTTGAAGATTACTTAAAATGGCATTCAAATTGACCTTGCAATTATAAGTTATGTGGCAAATTCATAAGTGCGGACAAGGGTACCTTTTGGCATATTTTGATTTGTACGAAAAGACCAATAAATGAGTATTAAAAGTGTAAAATGGATACTAATATTAATATTTCCTAATGATTATTGCTTAGGTAAGGAATGATGATTGACTTTTGGGGTAATTTTAGAAACTTCCCCCGAGATTTCTTATAAAATCACTCAACTTTCCTGAGGTTTTTAAAATCTCACTTATCTCCTTTGAATTGATATTTCTTGTAACATTTGAATCCGTTTGGAAGAAATACAAGAAATATAAAACTTTTGCTCTAATACTACCCTTATATTATCCTACTTATAAAGTTTATAACAACAATAAAAACTAAAATAAGGTTAAATTTTTATAACATGCAAATATATTGAAAAATTCACACGATGAAGAGATTATTTTAGTTTTCAATACAACTTAAACTATACTATGAATTAAAACATATTTTCCCAAAAAAATATCTTGACTTCCTTAATTGTAACTTAACTTTACACAAAATCTTTTAAGGTATTAATTACTCACCAAAAATCCTCCTAAGTGGTTGACTTTGATAAGATTTAATTTATCCACATCCTTTGCCATCCTACCACGATCCCAATATAAAGAAATATGGACCATTATTAGCTAATCATTTGTTTTTTTCAATTTACATTTTTTGGTTTTAAAATTTTATTTTGTGTTGGCTTTTTGGTTAAATAGTTATTAAGAGCAAGGGTAATGTTGTTAATTTGTGACATTTGATAGAAATATTTAGTCTTGTCAAGTTGACAAGAGAGGTAAGTGAGATTTTAAAAACTTCAGGGGAGTTGAGTGATATTATGACAAAACTCAGAGGAGGTTTTTGAAATTACCCTCGATTTTTCCATTGTTGAATTTGGCATTACAGTGCGACTATGTTTATATTTTGAAATCCTAGATTTGCTTTTACGAGTTGAATGCAAGAGGTCAAAGAAAATAATTTTCCTTGTAATGTTCATGTATCTTTACTTTAGATATAAGGGTAGCCCTTGGGTTAATGCTGACAAAATTTTACAAAAACATCTTGCTGTAATAGAAAATGATAGCCACAAAAGAATGAAAAATAAATGAAATAACCACGTGTCAATACGAATTTGAGAAAATACTTACGACATACCCATCTCCTAGCTGACTATGACACAAGCATTGCCTGTCATTCATTTGCTTAATCTTTTCAAGAAAAGAAGAAAAACAAAAGAGATTGCATGAGATACATGACCAACTTGGAAGTTGTTATCGAAAATTTGAAAATTAATTCGTGAAAAAAATAATTAAAATTTATTTTATTGGTTAAATAATTAAAGTGGTTATCCAAATTAAAGTCCATTTATTACAAAACAAGTTATTGGATTTAGTTAAATTTGGCCCAAAGTGAAAGTTGGAATTAATATCAATCGCTCTAGCTGGCATTTTGAGCCATGTCCATGTTGATGGGTTAACTTAATGCCTTGTATTTGCTGATGGAAATCTTGAACCACAAGTAACCCATTAGGAGTTAGGAAACACAAGCATTTTATAGATAGGGTGTTCTTGTGCTAAATAAAATACACGTAGATATATATAAAATAGATAGACATAGGCGGCAAGAATTCTTCAAAACTTGTTGGAGTTTTTCAAGCGCTCAAACCTACAATCACTAAAACGTTCTTCCTCAAGATCTGCTAAGACTCCCGTGGATCACGAGGAATTCTTTCTTGAGTTCTACACTCAAGTGTTTTTCTTACAACCTTTTTGGGCATTATTGAGGTAGATTTGTTGTCTATCTTTGTGCCTAAATCTCCATTAGAAGGAGTAAGAATCAAGGAAGTTTTATTATTCATTTTTTTGTAAAAGATATAAGTTTAGAGTGGTGTGCCCATCAGATTCGAAATTAATAGATCTATGTTTCTTTGTTAATTTGTTCCTATACTTCTACATACTTGAAATTTGTCAGAACAAATTTATGGCATGCCCAGTCGGACCAAAACATTCTATCTCTTCTGCTTCAAAAAGTATCATTGCCATTCAAGGAAACTTGTTTGCTCAAAGGAACATGATGATTGCTGATGATCCGTATGCTGGTCCTATGACACGCGCTAAGGTTAATGCACTCGCTGCAAAAATAGCCCAACAAGTGAAAATTTATTTCCACATGAAAGAAAGTCTGCAATCTTGGAGGGATCTGCTAGATTTGGCCAATCTTCTGAGAAAGTGGCCCTCTCTTCTTACTACAACAAAATATTTGCAGGGACATCATGCCATCTACGGTAACTAATACTTGTCAATTGGAAGAGTAAGTTTTAGAGATGTTAAAGGTGATTGACAACTTGAAAAGTATCATAGAAGAGAGATCTCTAAATCACAAAATTGATGAGTAATTTAAAGATTCTCAGTGACGTAGAGTGTAACCGCAAAACTTTAGATTCAGGCACCAAGAAAGATAACTGCAAGAACATTGAGGAAAGTCCCCATAAATCCTCATCTCAAGAAGATGAACTGCCTATGTCTGTTGCTTCCTTTATGATGTAATAATTGCAACATATTAGCGCTAACTTAGTGAAAGCTAAGTTTGCTAACTCGTCACAATCCTGGGTTCTTTACTCAAAACCAAATAGTAGAAGCATCGACAGTCTAAGGATGCCACTTGATTATCAACCTCCACAATTTTGGCAAATCTTGCCAATGTTGCTTTGCCACCCACGAGATCTCATTCGTTGCTAGAGAAAGATTTGAGGTCACAAATATTGGTGATATGAAAGTAATTAAAATATATATAATGTACTAACCGGGGAGGGAAAGGAAAATATTATTTATGAATTAGGCAGTAAAAGAAATTTAATTGCAAGTGTGTCTCATTTATGTACACTCACACATTTTTTGACGAAAACTAAATTTAAGACAAAATAGTTAGACCATTTCCTTTCTAACCTTCCATCCCTTCCTCAAGAATTACAATTAAATGCAAACGACCAATCCCTCCTACTCATGTATTTGCCTGTCCCTTCTACTCTTCAATCCAAACTATGCCTAAATAATTTTTCTATTCTTATCACTATTTGTTTGTCGAGGCAATGGTTAAATGCATTTTTTCTTTTCCTGGTTAGTGGCTTAGGCAATTAGGGGTAGGGAAAATGGGAAACGATTCCTAGGCTTATCTTACCTCAATTCTTTTTTTTTTTTTAATTCAAGAGAAGACTCTAAACTTTACATTGGGGAAGGGAGAATGGCTTGAGAATTGAATTAGTGACCTCAAGCTCACTTGGTTGTGTTTACCAATTGAGCAACTAGAAAAATAATAAATCATTGTGCAATAGAATAGATGAAAAATCAGGCAAGAATTATACTGATGATTGTTATCCACAGTTCAAAAGTAATTTGATCCGCCACACCCATATAAGGTTCCTTTGAATGCACAATTTTGGATCCCATCAAGTCATTGAAAGACTAAAGCCCTATCAATCTTGAGTTGTTGTTTGGATAGCACTTGCTCTAATTCATTCTCACTGATGGAATCATCTTCCATGAACTCCTTCCACAGTTTTTGGGTATCAGTTTTCTTTTGATGTTCTGACCGATGCATTAGCCTCCAGATCATCTTGGTCCTTGCGATTGACTCCTCATTTATGGACTTAGATATGCTTTTGAAGCTTTTGGTGTAATCAATTTTCTTCCCTTCATTTTCTAATAGCTTCCAAGTTCTTGTTCTACCTCCATGCACTGAATTGTCGTGTTAACCAAGGAGAGGCCTAATATTCGGGCTAAGAACACAATCAATTCTTTTGACTTACTCTTCATGTTCTTAACATTTTGTTTCAAGGTGGCTATGCGACTCTCAAACTGCCCCACGTGACAGTTTAGCTTTGCCATTTCTACCTTCAATGAATTGATTTTATCCTCAAAATTTTCTAGTTGTTCCTCCATTTTTGACCTCTCAGCTCTTAAGCATTGATTCTTCGATCCTTGTTTGTTTTGGATTGTTGGAAGTTCATCATTCCACCTTCTAATCTATTGGGTTTGTGAGATCCAGCCCAATTGGT